GAGGCATGCCTGCTGTGGGTCACAAACCCCTGCTAGCCACTTAAGGAGCCACAATGCCCTTCCTGGTCCCTAGTCTTCTCCTATCCCCCTCCACCCCAACTTGCTTTTCTCCTGCCACTTGCTGCACCAGACCACCAGAGGTTGAGGGGGTTAGTGGGGTTGGGCCTGGATATGCATAATTTGTGAGATGCCCTAGGAAGGACTGTCTCCTACTTCTTTGGTCATGCTGGGGTTGCTTCCTCCTCTCCCCTCACCCCTCACTGTTGTGTCTGGTCTATCTCTGTTCCCTTTACCACAATCTGCCAGCTCCTTACCTGATTAAGCTGGGCTCATGTCTGCTTCTCTGGCCAGTAAACAAGGGGCTGTACCTTTCTGCTAGGAGCAGGACTAGATGGCACTGGGATGTAGTACAGTCTGCTTCAGGGGACATGGGGGGTTCCTGGGCTGCACAGGATCAGGGCCCTGAAGCCTTGGGAGCCTGTGTTCAGCTTTCCCTGTTTTTAGAGGTATGCCTCAAGTTGAAATCCCCCTGCATGCCTCTGCAGGGAGGAAAAGCTGGGGGTCTCCACTTGCAGAGGTGTGCCCCAAGTGTTGTCCCATAGGATCAGGCTTCTGGGACCAGAAGGGACCCAACCATGTGGGAACACAGGTGACATCTGTTTCACCCAGTGAAGTGCATCAACTGTGCTGGGACACATCTCAGCACAGCTGATCCACTTCATTGGGCAATGTCTATAGTCCTAGGTTGTTACTGCTACAGTTAACACACACCTAACACTCATTTTAGGAAATAAGAAATCAGCATGCCCCTGGCAGACTGCATCCTTTGTCCTCCTTAACTTGCATCCAGCTTTGTTTCGGAACACAAACATGGAGGATGTCATGAACGCAAGGAAGCTGGAGAGAGAGCTTTTGCGAGATGAGTGCCAGAAGAAGAAAGAGCAAGACAGGCTCCAGCGAGAAAAGGATAAGCTAGCCAAGCAGGAACGGAAAGAGAAGGAAAAGAAAAGGACACAGAAGGGAGAACGGAAGCGATAGCTGTGGTTTTTCCCGTTGGACTTTTTCAGAGGATAAAAATGAATTCTGCATATCGTGTGTGTTCTAAAATGGCAACAGCAGCTCGGGGCAGGCAGCGGGCAAGCAGGTCTTTGGAAGCATTTCCTCTTTTGTTTACACAGCAAAAAGAAATTGCAAACACTTTTTCAACTGAAAATGTGCGTGTGGTGTGAAATGTGTCGGTAGATTGTTGTGGCCAATGTCTGTACCAAAGAACTGTGAAGTGACTACTTTCTCTCTTCAGATCATTCATTTTACTTGGAATGAGGTGTAGGAGGGGCTTCCAAAATGGCCGCAGCTTTGCACTGCCCTCAGACCTGCAGCAATGGCATGTTATTTTACTTGGGTGTAACCAAAGCCCTGGTTTCTGAGATGCAGCTGAAGGCAAGCTTCTGTGGGCTGAACATGAACTTGGTGTAGCCTTGCAAAATTTGGTTTAACTGGGGCAAACAGTGTTTTTTTTGGAAAGTGAATAAAACCTAAGTTTGGGTTTTTTTTGATCGTGGTTGGAGTGAGTGGGTAATATTTATGCTGAGCTGGTAGATATTCACCTTAATTCTGCAAGAGCCTTATGAAATATAGGGCCAAGAAACACTAACTTGCTGCTGTTTCACAAGGGGTTCCTCTGTCCTGGGGAAGTGCCATAGTACTCTGGATATTGTGCAGAGTGGTGATAGAAACATCAAGACTTGACCCCAGTAGCCTGGAGAACAGAAATCTCTCTGGAACTGAGATGGGTAGTGTAGGTTTTATTGTGTATGGAATTGTTTCATGGGTTTTGTTTACACTTAAGGATTTTTTTCTAACCTCTCCAGGGTGGTTGGAGCAGAAAGGGACAGTGTAATATATAATATATATTTTTAAATGATGGTGGCCTGCAAGCACCTTGTCTGTACTCAGTACTACTGGTGTAGCTGCACCAGCAGAAACATGTTGGTGCAGGTGCAGCCTTGGAGCAGAGAAATGTTAGCAGATACATCTGAACAAATGAATGGCTAGTGATCTGTGCTCTTATGGCCTTTCCTCTCAAACTACAAGGCCTCTGCAAAAAGAAACACTAGTCTTCCCAAGTTCTGTTTCCCTGCATTGCTCTTCACAGTGGCTTGGGATGAACAATTAACGTGTGCATCAGCCACATTTAGCAGCAGTGTATGCTTTCTGCTAGGTCAGAGCATAATGCACATGCAAGACTTTTCTGACACCAGGCAGCTACTGAATCTACTGAGTTCCACACAAAATCTACTAAAGGTCAGTGCATTCTATTCAGCAAACTGTTGAGAGTGCAAATACTGGATTGCTTTACCTTTTGATTCAGATAATAAAAGTGTTTGGGCCAAGAATAAGGAGTGTTCTATCTTTTTTTCCTGGGCATACTCCCCGGAGCACTGCAGCAAACAGCATTAACATCTTCCATATTACACACACCTTTTCCTCAAAATGTTTTGTTCAGGCTTTTTCCAAGTTCTAAAATATAAGCCTTAAAAAACAAAACAGAAAAAACGTCTGTTCAAAGGTCTGCAAAAGTGTAATTAAATTAATTGTTTTATATAAAACTACCTGTGACTCCTCTGAATTTGATAAGCATCATGGGTGAGTTTTTGCAGCATGTCTGCGAATTCTCCACTATATGCGGAGATGAGTCATGTAGTGCGCACGTGCTTTACTGCAGTTGACTAATTAGCTCCATACAGACTGCATCACTACACATGCTCTGGTATTGGGGTGCAGTAAATTAACTAACTCCATCAGGGACAGTACTATCAAAGTCAGGGTAATTGCATGTGCTACAATGCACATGTAGGTGTTGACAGGCTGGCTGGGGCATGAGGGTGCTTATGTGTGGGGGCTGCCTGCTGCCAACCCAGCTACAGCACACTTGTGCCCTTGCCAGCCCTGACACTGCTGCCTAGAGCTGATCCTCTGGACTCCTGCCAGCCCAGAACTACTCTGCCCCAGCTCAAAGTGCTGCAATCCTAGGCACATGTAGACACTACCCAGGAGCAGCTGACTCCAGTGCGACCTGTGCTGGAGTTTTGTCCCCTTAATAGTACATGTAAATGCACCTAGGGAGAATGAGGTTAGCTCTGCTCCTGAACTCTTGCATGTCTTTAGTTGTGGATGACTAGACCTAAACTGCAGTAAGTTGGTTTATCCAGTGAAACTGCAGCATTTAAACTCCCCACCTCTCGTTCTTTGTCAGACATCAAACCACTGCCACTCTTGGAAGGAAATCAAGTGATTCTTGCACTTTCCAGTAGGGCCTTGACATGGTTTAAGTGGGATTAGGTTCAGCAACTGCTCCACTGGTCCTTGAGAGCAGTAATTGGTAACATCCAGTCAGCAGGCAAGTTTTGTGGGGTTTTTTTTATAAAAGCAACAAACTTTTAGAATCAAAACACTTCTAAGAAAAAATATCTTAGCCCAATAGAGATGTCCTGACTACTAAGGAGAGAGGCAATTAGCTGTTAGTGTGAAGCATGGGCAACTGGTGCCTCTCGAGCCAGGGGGTGCTCCTATTTCCCCACAAAGTCCCAATACCTGCGCATCAGGGAGTGGCAAAGGCAGCCGGCTCCATTGTGCGGGGCTTTCCCTGGTGGTGCACAAGTGTGGGAGCTGCATGTGCACTGCAGAGAGCCCTGTGCAATAGAGGTGGGCTAGCCTGGCTGGGTTCCTCACCCCCACGTGCAGTGCTGCCCAGTCGTGTGCCACCGGTGCCAGCACCTGCTACTGGCAGGGGCTGTACACCATGGGCGGTGGGAGCGCAGAGCTCAGATGGGCAGAGGGTGCCCGCCCCCCGCCATTGCCCATCTGAGCTTTGGGCTCCCCTCCCACCCCCCACCAGGTGCAGGCTCCATACTGCTGCCAGCCCCAGCCTCATACTCTGCACTCCCATCCAGCTGTAGCTCCCTCCTGCCCCCCCACTCCTGCTACTTCCCTACCTGGTGCCTGGAGTGAGTGGGCTGCTAAAGAAGCTGAGCAGGTCCCCCAGTGGCTGCAGCAGTGGCAGCAGCAGCATTGCCCAGAAGCTCTGCACCCACTGGACCGGGCCATTCTGGGCATAAAGGTGGAAGCAAGGTGCAAGAGAGTATGGTGTGTGTGTGTGTGTGTGTGGGGGTGTGTGTGTGTGTGTGTGTGTGTGTGTGTGTGTGTGTGGCGGAGGGGTGTATATGTTGGCACCTCGCTCCCACCCTCATGGGTGGAAGAGCTGGGTGGGGCACAATTAGTTGGTGGGTATCCGCAGGCTGGATGAAATTGCCCAGTGGGCCAGATCTGGCCCGCAAGCCATATTTTGCCTGCCCCTGTTCTAAAAGATATAATCAAGTTACAGTGCTATCCTTCTTTAAATATTACTATTTAAGCTAATTCAATTGTAAATTAAGTATTCATATTTAGAAAAGTTAGGCTGCTTAAATATATGTCTCAGACGGCCGAAGCCGACTTGAGGAGGATTGCTGATTACTCGGCCGTCAGGCGGGCTGGTGGATGGAGAGGCGGGACACAGCGTATTGGTTGCAAAATAACTTTTACTTTACTTACACCGCTGGTGGTCGTGACGCAGGTGGTAAGGTTGCTTACCTAGTTACAGGTAACAAGTTGCTTGCGTGGTTACAGGTAACTGGCGACCAGAACGAGCCGGCAAGTTTGTAGACAGTAATGAGCATGCAGGATGAAGGATACGTCGGGACAGTCGAGGATGGGGAGATGTTGGAGGATGGCCAGTCCACCAGCTTTTCTCTTCCACGTGGCAAAGTTCTCTGTACTCTACCACGTGCTCAGAGCTCTCCGACTTGGGCGGAAGCTGCACGCATTTTTATATGTTTAGAGTAGCCAATAACAGACTGCCAGGTGGGAAGAGCTAATGAGGCAGAACATACCAAATCTGCAGTTATTCAGGGCAGTTCTATTGTGACAGGGGCACTCAACTTATTTGGTTATGACAAAATACACATAAAAATGCAACACTGTTCCCAACAAAAGCTTATTTATTTCTTACTAGACAGACTAAATTCAGTACAGTATTCTTTGTTGTAACATCCAACATATCTTATGTCAAACTTAAACACTCTTGTGCATTGACTATTGTGGTATGATGATATATTGCTTTTCTGCCCCTATGCAATTCATTATGGCAATACTGCAAGTCATATCAATGATCAGTATGGTTCCACTACAGTTTCTCCTGCATTTGCAATCAGTTTCTCTCTCACATCATCTAAAGACAATTTATGTGGTGTGATTACACTTTTTGCAGAACAGGATCTCTAAAACCAGGAAGAACAGGCTTTTAAAATATCAGCATACCTAGCCAAGGGTAGTTCAATAAATTTAATCCACACATTATAGTTTAACTCCATGCTAGAATTGTTAAAACCCCAAGATCTCCTCAGCCACATAATATCAACATTTCACATTAATGAATAAATTATTCAAAGATATTGAGATAAGAAATGCAGAAAAACCCAAGCATTCAATAGCTCTCAAAAAATACAGAAGAAAACTAATAAGTGTAACAAAATATATGCTAACTGATCTCAAACCAAACTAGCCAAAGAGTAACTTTAAAAAAAAAAGAAAAGAAAAAGAATACTTTTCATAAACTCGTGATACCCTTTTTAAAAAGTATTAAATCAAGGGTATTAGAACAATACTCATTATTTCAGCTTCTGTGCAGCTTTTCAGGATTCATACGGTGTAATGTTTTGATTACACTTAAATACTTTAAAACAGAGTTATTTTTAGACAGTATGCATGAATGATTTGAACAAGTTTTACGCTCACTAAATCGCATGGTTTCATAACAGCAGTTTCGGAATATCACTAATTTAGGAGAATCTAGTGCATTTCCTTTCATAAATTTAGATTCTAAAATTTCAAATTTATAAATATGCCTTTTAAATATGTAATTTGTACATTAATATTGGGTATCTTTTGCATTGTTTTCCTCCTGTCTCCAGGTACTAGTTTGATAAGGAAAACATTTTTACATCACAATCACACTTGTGTGTTACTAGACTGCAGCCACTGTTGGTCACAGTCCTAAGATTCATTATTTAAGAATGTACTCACCAACACAAACCTAAAATAAACTTAAATTGAAGAAGTCCCATTGGTGCTTACCAGCACTGCAGAATGGGCTAACGTTTTAGCTGCTAAAAATAATCAGAGTACTTAAACTGGTAAGTTAATTCTGTCCAGTCAATGTTTTGCAACAGCTATTAACATTTTCTGTTACCTCAGTGTGTTGTCTGGTAATTAGCAATTAGAGTCTTGAGAAGCTGAACTTGCTTCTTCAAAGTATCAACTTTAAATCTGGAAGAAAACTGGTTAGTTTAAGCTGTAAAGGTTCATTTAAATATGAAATACAGGTTTTACCTACACTGATATTTCATTAGTGGGTGTTTGTTTCAGTCCTTTGGTTTATGAGGTTGCTGCTATTCATATTTTCACATGCTTTATCTTCAGACTGTACCATCTCCTGAAAAGCTTTCTCCACATCTAACTGTCCAGATGTAGTTGTAGTTTTTGGCAAGGTCATCTGAAGTGCACACCAAAGGGTGGTACGTGCTTTGCGTGTTGCTGCACTCATCTCTTTAATTGCCAGAGCAAGCGCAAAGACATCTGTGGGAAGAAAAAGGTGTTACATGTATATAAAATCGTTTGAGAAACTGTTTGCTTGGATTCAGATGACGTCCTGAAAAACACTCAAAGCTCTGAACTATCACCCATGAGCAGGGGTGGATCTAGGGTTTAGTAAAGGGGAAGGTGCAGCACACCACACCTCAGATTGTGGTGGAGGGTGAGGCAGAGTAGGCAGTCCCTGGGCCAGCAGGGGACACTGGGGGATGGAGCAGGAAGCAAGCGCAGGAAGGAGGAGGGGACCTGCCCTTGCTGCCACTATTTCTGGCTTACCTGGGTGTGTGGGGCTTCTCTTATTTTACTGGACCTGATGGACAAAGGGGTGGCTGCAGGGAGCAACAGTACAGGATGCCAGGCTCAGCTGAGGACAGCAGCAGCAATGTGTGGGTTCCTCCTTCCTGCACTTCTTGTCCACTCACCCCTCTTCCCACACCAGGCATCCTCTTCCTGCCTCCTAGCATGGCCTAAACCAATAGGCTGTTGGCTAATTTGTGGCCAGGATATGTTTTCCTCTTGAAGAAGTTCTGTTTTGCACAAAATTCAAAGGCCCAGAGAAAGTGTGAGCATGACTCCCTAGCTTAGTGGCATCCACCTGGTAAAAGGATCCTGGATTCAAACTCCTGTTTCAAGGTCTGCATTTTACATTCAACTGTTACCGGACTCCTGGTTCCCTTTTCAAAAGAAAATGCATGGATGGCTACCTTCAGAAGATGGTTCTAAGCCAGAGGTCAGCAACTTTTTTGGCCAGAATACCAAAAACACCCCAACCTCGACTCATGACTTGGTATGCCACAGGCAAACAGCAGGGGAGCTGTGAGGGGCCCGATCCTCATTGTTGGTGGCAGGTACACACATGACCTGGGAGGATAGCGGGGGAGAGACTAAGGCTGTGCTGCCCTGGCCTCTTTCCTGCCATGTACCCCGAGGTGCACATGCAGTTGCTGCTGCCATGGAACTGGTTCTGGGGCTCCAGACCTTGGTGCAGCTGTTTACAGCCTGCCCACCACCTGCTGCAGCTGCCCAGAGCCCTGGCCAGCTATGGTAGACAGCCAGGAGGCTGCAAATAGCTGCACCAGGCTCCAGAGCCCTGGCCAGGCTCCATGGCAGTGGCAGCTATATGTGCACCTCAGGATACACAGCAGGGAAGGAGCCTGGGGCAGTGCAACCCTGGCCCCTCCTCCCGAGGCACGTGTGTAGCCACCCCTGCTGCCATGGACTCTGGGCAGCTGCTACCTGCCATGGAACCTGGGATGCTCGCAGCAGGGCTTAGCCTCCCCACTGCCTGCTGTGAGCAGCCAGGACTCCATGGCCAGTGGCAGCTGCCCAGAGCCCGGACTGGCTGTGCCATGCGGAGCAAAATGATCTCACATGCCATGCTTTAGCATGTGTGCCACACATTGCTGACACCTGTTTAAGGCTTTGCCTCCCAGTAGCACTGAGAAAGTTGCCTAAGCCCCAGAATTTAAAATACACCTCTGTCCTCAGAATTTCCTTATTAGCTAGTTTAAACAGTTCCTCATTCAGCACATTCAGCTTCTGTGAATCTAATTCTAAAGGCACTTTACTCTTCTCATACACTGTGTAAAGAGTCTACATGTCCAACACAGAGTTGTCAATTCCATTATTGGGGCCTGATGCACAAGTGTCTCTTAAGATCTGGGCCTTGGGCACAGAGCTACATCTATTAAGGCAGAATTTATGCACAATTTAACAAAGTGCTGCCTAAATATTTATATACATGTGAACACCAATATACTTCAGAACATCCATGTGTGTTCCAGAGTTTAGGAAAATATAAGCATTAAAGAATACACAAATCCTGTGCATTTTGTTTAATATCTGCACGATAAGCCTAAGGCAGACTGAAATCAAGAGGCAGGGAGGCACATCTAGTCTCCTAAGTGTATTTACAATGTACCTAGCCAATCAGCCACACCACATATGAACTTAATGTTTTTGGGAGTCTGATTAGTCCTTTAACATTCAACTGTAATATAACTAAAAATAAAAAAAAGTGTTCAAGCCTTGTGGTACACTTACAAGATTCAAGATGTATTTTCTAGTGTCTGGTTGGGTAGGAATTCTGAGGAAAGCACAGACATTTTTGTTAACACTAAATTTGATTTTGCTATGTAGGGGAACCAGTTTTTGCCCCTCTGTCTAGATACAACCTCTTTGCAGTTGGATTTTTAAAGGAAAATCTCTATGACAGTGCACATGTTCTTACATTTCCAACATGAACATCTCCCTGGAGCAATCTATGAAACTGCAATTATTTCTGCAAATTAACAGTTCACTGCGAAGTAACAAAATCATGTCTTCAGGATTATAACTAAAAGAGACACCAAACATTTCAGGATTATTTCTGCGTGCCTTCAAGAAAGGCGCACAGAAATACAACATGGATCATAAGTAATGAGATGGGTGTATTTCACACCAAGAGATAGTTTATAATCTGACCCACATCAATTTATTTTATATATCAACGTATTTGGCTTTTGTGAAAGAACACTTGTGGACATTTCCCCCCCGCCCTCCCCTGGGGATGGGGGAGAGGAGGGAAGGGAATCCATAATAAATGTAACCACAAAATGTGAAAAGACATGAAACAACATAGTAGCAAAACAAAGGAAGAGAAAGAAAGAGCTACATCCTTCCTCACTAGTTAAACCCTGACTGCTCAGGACTGGGACTGCTCTTTGCTGCCATTGTGAAAGACTTTCAGATCATACACGACATTAAACCACAGTGCAGGAATTTATATCCATTTAAATAGAAATGAATTTAAGTGCCCATGTCTATATGAGGCTTTATGTCACTGACACCCAGGAGCACATGTGTGAAAGCTGCAAGGCTATGCTTAACTGCTGCCTAGTCCAGAAAGGACATAGGGTGCTAAACACGCTTCCTTTTCTCTGACCTCCATGGAGCATGCAGGTTGTTATGAATACTGAACAAAAAAAATGCTTCTGCATCTCCAGTATAGCCAGAGACATAGGATGCATAACCATTTTTTAAATCTGCTTACAGAAGCATAGACCTATATTCAGAGAGGACCATGCACAGTATAACCACACTTAAGCACCTAACTCTAAAAGAAGGTTTGAAACTACAAATCCAAAGTGAAAGGATGTGCTATCTATCTATCTCACTTGAATTTCTCGAAAACCCGAAAAGTTCTTGTCTGTGAAATCCTCTTTGCCAACAACACAGCAATTTTTAATTATTCAAAAGCAGGGCTGGAAAGTCTCATGGATCACTTTTCTTGAAGACTGTAGTCATGGGTCAACAAGTTGACTGCCCTCCTGAAGTTAGAATAAATGATGAAAGCCTAGAAGTGGTTGGAAAATTCACTTACTTGGGCTTTACCATCTTGCAAAATTTTGGCTTGGAAATCTAAATAAACACATGCATCGGAAAGGCAAGCAAAACCATGGCTAAACTTCAAGAGAGTTTGGAAAAACAGAGCATTCACTCAATGGACAAAGATATCCACCTACAGCACTTAGCTGTCTACTGTATGGCAGCAAAACATGGACTCCTTATGTCAATAAAGAAAACAAGTTTCCATCTTTCATGTCTCCACCATATACCTAGCATAACGTGGTGTAACAAAAATCTCCAAGTTTGCTATTCTGGAACGGGCCAAATACCCTGTAGGTTTGTGCTCCTAAGACAGATTCCTCCATTGGTTAGGACTTGTGAATCGTATAAGCAATGGCTGAATCCTCAAGGACTCTCCATGGCAGGGACGGGCAAAGTCCGGCCCATGGCCTGGATCTGGTTGGCTGTGGGATCCATTTCCCGCCTGCATGGCTTGGGCCAGTCTCCATGGAGCCCCCAGCCACACCTGCACGGGAAAGCTCAGATTGGGGTTGCCATGGAGACCAGCCACAGCTGTCTGGGCAGGGGTGTGCAAGCAGGGGATTGTGGCTCTGCCCTGACTCCAGGCTGTCACCGCTGCAAGGAGCAGAGCAGAGCCACAATCCCCTGCCCATGTGCCTCTAGCCAGAGCATGCAGGCTACAGATCATGGCTCTTCCCTGGCTCTGAAGCAAGCTGCCCCCATCGCAAGTTCCCAGCAGCTCCGGAGCAGCCCCCTGCACTGCCAGCACAGCTGGTCTCCATGGCAACCCCAACCTGAGCTTTGCTATGCAGGTGCGTCTGGGGTCTCCATGGAGAATGGCCCAAGCCATACAGGCAGGGACTGCTGAGAAATGGGGTCTGACTGCTGGACAGATCAGCCATTTTACCCACCCCTGCTCTATGGTGAGCTGGCCACTGGCAAATGTCAACTTGGACAGCCCAAACTATTTTGTTGATGTCTGCAAAAAAAACAATTTGCAAGCTGCACATCTATGACCAATGCTGAGAATTAATCGCTTCAGACTGCTGTGAATGGAAAACTGCCAGGAAGCAGGGCCTACGTCATTTCAAGATGGAGAGGGTCAACAATGAGACAGAGAAGATGCATCAGAGGCTGGCTGATAAGGCAGTACTCAGCATGCCAGTGCAAGCTCAACCAAGTTTGTACATACAACTTGCCGGAGGGTCTGCTTGTCATGCACTGGACTCCTCAGCCACTCAAGAAGCTGGGGTGGTACTCAGTAACCCAAAGGTGCAATCTCCATGGTCTCCCAAGACCAATGGCTGCCAATGATGACCAATACGGGCAGTTCCCTGCTTAGTTTGCTGGTTTCCAAAGATTCCATTTCTAGAAGTATTTCTCACAGCTGTTAATTCCACTAAGCCAGTGAATCCTAACCAGGGTACCAAGGAACTTGGGATGCGCCTCCAGGTCTTCTGAAAGTCATCTTGAGGTGTGAGGAGATAAGCAGATAAGTAGATTCCCCACCCCCTACTGCCCAGGCCCTCTGCAAGGAGGTAAACATTTTAATATATAAATTAGTTTTTGAAATTGAGTTCCACTTAATTCACAGAAGTTCGAGAGGGTGCCTCGAGTTGAAAAAGGTTGAGGACCATTACACCAAGCAGCAACATGCCCTAGTCCCTTTTTGTGGATTTGGGTCTAAGATATGGAATGTATTGATTATAGCTATGTCCTCCTGACCTGGTTTGGTATTTCTCACTCTCTTGATTTAATGGCCAGTGAACATGGCAGTAGTTCTTAAATCATAGTTATTCAGGAAAAGATAGGTAATAAGGAGACAGAAGCAAAGAGTGAAAAGAAATAATTATGTCTTTATTCGTCAACTACACTAGTAATAACTCATTTTCAACTACTTCTCTAGTTTACTGATGAAGCAAACAGTTGAACGGATTAAATCCATGTGCCTAATATTCAAAAGGCTTACTGTATATTCCTAACCAAAAACATATCAACTTAAACCATGGAAATATTGGCCCAATTTTTTGCCCTTCCCCAGGCTAAGCTCAAACCTAGAAACTCAAATCAAAGTCTACTAATGAAAAAAACAATCAAATAAAAACAATATGTTAAGAATTATTCTACCATGGAAAAGTATATGTATACCTCTGTCATCTTGGCATTTGGGAGCTCCTTGCCTTTGCCGATTTGAAGCATTTACAATTTCATCCTTTCTACGTGACTGCACTATATGAATTATCTCCAGATGTTTATCAAGAGCAGTAGAAATGTTAGCATGAAGGGGAGAACTGCGAAGACGTTCCATTTTTCCCAGTAAAGTCACAACCTAATGAATATTTTATATCTGTTACAATAGCTCATATACTTTACTTATCTAAAATGTAAGTGAAAATTGAACTAACCAGATTAGTACTAGACAAGCAACACCTTTCTATAAAATATCCTCCAAAAAAGTTAAGCTTTGGAAACAGGCGAAATCCTTGTCAGTAATGTTGGTTTCTCATTTAGCAAAGATAAACAATGCTTAGTTCTGTGATCATTACAACACCCCAGTATCTAAGTGTTTAGTCTAAGATTCCCAAAATTAATCTAGTGATTATGGGTGCCTCAATGTTCGAATATATAACTTGAAGCTTCTCTAAAAACTAGCTGAATTCAGAAAGTGCTGATCATCTGCTCTATGAAAAGTCAGGCACCTTTGGAAAGAAAAGAGGTAGCAAGTCAAGAATCTGAAATCACCAGTCACCTTTGAACATCTGGATCTTTGCCTTCCTTTCAGATTTTTAGCAGACACAGTATTATGATATCCCCAAGCCATGGGTTGGCAACCTTTTAGAGTAGCAGGCTTCCACTTGTACCCTAGCCACTGCTGCAATCCCCTCCCCACAGCACCCAAGCTGCCTTCTGCCACTTCCACCATGTGCCACTTGATACCTATTCCCAATGGTAGTGGGGAAGGCCAAATGTGATGGAGGTGGTAGGCAGCACATGCCACAGGAGGCAAAGACGCTGGCAGGAATCATGCAGGCAGGGATCAGTGGCATGGTGTGGGGCAGAAAGGAGGACACATAAGGCCAAGCTGCATGCCGCTGATTCCCTATGCTACTGCAAGCCAGATCCAAGCACCTCCCAGGCAGGATGTGGCTCAAAGGCTGCCGACCCTGCCATAAAGTAAATGCCAGCATCTCCTTCCAGCAAACTTGTAACCCTAGGCTCTAAGAACCATGTTAGAAGAGTAGATTTAAACATACACATGTGCACACACCATAACTGAAATGCTTTGCTATACATTCACCCAAGGAACCTTGTCTGCCTATGTCCTTAGACCAACATGGCTACAACCCAAACCCATGCTATACATTTAGATTTTTAAAGCTAATTCCCTTGAACAGCTCTACTTTTTCCACTAATAATGGTGGAAATGGATGCGCCTAATTCCTTTCCGGCCAGGGGGTCTCTCAAAGCATTCTCTCTCATAGCTCCTCCTTGGTGGATGGGCAGAACAGCAGGTACCACATAGAAGAAAAACATTCAAAAGAAGGTTTTACCATTCTTGTAATAAGGTACTTAAGACTTAACGTAAAATACTTTGTGTGATACTGGCTACCATGGGGACAAGATTAGTACAGGACAAAGATTTTCAGTTTTATTATCAAAGTTAAATACTTCAATATTGAAGTACTTGGGTTTTTCTGTAACTGAAGATGGTGAATCAAAAGTGACCTGAATTGAAGGGATTCATGGAGGTGACAAAGTATTACACTGGTAAGGATGGGAAGAGAGTCAAAAACAAAGACCCCATCCTATTCTACCTATTAGGTGCCCAGGCACGATTCTATTCCATGCTGCTCAAGTTTCAGAAAAATAGTTATCTGCAAGAGGTGGATCGGTCCTCCTCCTCATTGCTGCTTTTTGTGACTTAATAGCATATTCCAAACATAGGTGTATTAACATTTTTTTCAGGGACTTGAACAGGATAGAACACAACCGCACCTGGGCACCTAAACCTATTTACAGGTCTCTTCCCATTCATAACTTTTTACAATATGGCCAAATCTGCAATACATAAGTTTTAAGTGCCACAATGCATAAGTTTTAAGCACCCTGCCTCCTAATGGCATTCAAAGTTCTGAATAAGGCACCTAGGTAAAAGAGTACCTAATTTACAGATCCTGATGGGATGTGGGTGCAAATTAGTTGTTCAGCTGCTCAGAACTTTCAAGGACTAGTCTGCATCTTATATTACCCATAACTGCCATTTAGGTTCCTAAGAACTCTGCTGATGAAAAATTAAGTGCTTAGGAATTGTAAAAGCCTCCAAAGTTAGGTGGCAGCCAGGTGGAAGTTGTATCTAAATTTTGGAATTAGGTGCCTAAGTGGCAATTAAATGCTTAGGTCCTTTTGTTGATCTAGCCTTAAAGCACTAAAGGACATCTGACCAACTTAATTAAGTAGCTTAAAAAGTTTAAATTAATTGTAAAGAACTTGAGTGAAGCCTAATGGCTTTGATATAAAGTATCTGTTCCACAGGCCAGGCAAAATAGTTCTAAAGAACTAGAAAAATAAAAGTATGGCAGATTCTTAAAGATCATTTTTCTGTAAATGTTATAGCTTGCGTTTGTTTTAGAACAGAACAGCAGGGGCCAACTTTTTGGCAGGTTTGTAACAAATTAGCCCTGCACCCTTCGCAAGTGCCACTGCAGTCTCTTTCC